TCAACAAGGAACTAAGTCAATGCTTAGCCAAATTATACACTTCACCCAAAATGATTTTCAAAAAAATAGATTAGATATACGATGCATGACAATCATTTCGTGAAAGCAAGGTTTTCATAATCATTTCATCATAAATCAAAAACCATTTCTCTCATGCGACACCGAAAGTCCAAATCACAATTTTCTAAAGACTAGTTAGCTCTGGAATTACATTCTATTCAGGAAAGTAGAGTCCTCATATTTCATTTACAGAAACACACTTATGCAATAACACCACAATTATGCATAGCAATTACTGACGCACATGAAACAGAAACAAGTTCTGTAAGTACAACATCAAAGCAGAAAAGTTGGTGTACATCACCACTATATCGTGCATTTAATCATTCAACTACAACAGGTCAACCATCATAGACCAAAAGTTTTATGTACAAGAGTAAAAAAATAACTTTTCCATTTACATTACCATTGCCTACGAATAGGGTGAGAGCAAGCTTTGTTTAGCGATGACTCGCTAAAACTGAAACAACACAACATCAACATTCATCATCAAAGCTCAGATTTATGCACATATAAGAAATCACTGGCATAATGAAAGTTTGTTACCTTAACTTTATTATGTCCATTTTGTTTTTCATACCGATTCGCTTTTAGTTTCCAAAAATTTAGGGAATCACCTCATGTATAAACACCTAAGAAAATTCTGCCTTTATGCAAACTCAATCATCACAATGACATTTAGATACTTCACTCACTTCAATTATTACTTTGAACAAAGAGTTTACTTTTAAGCAAAAATAATCCAAAACCTATGCAAGCATTGTAAGATTGACTTTTAGCAACTCATACAAGTAAGGATTGAAAACTTAGTCTTTTCAAAACACCTAGGATACATTTCTTTACATTTTTCCTTGTTAGCACAATATTATCTAAAAACAATACTTCATGATCAACACATTCCATAAAACATATTCATTTACATGTTCATATGAATTCTTTACATTATTCTTCAAGTTATTACCAAGATAGTTAACATACGGTTTCTAGAATTCACGCATCAAGGAAAAATTTATCAGGCATTAACAATTAACCTCAAAAAGATATTTCACCGTTGTCATATAAAACATGTTACTCACAAATTCATCATTTCATTCAACTTTCTAAACCTTGATGCACTGCAAGCAAACACATATGCAGGAATAAGTCAAGATGTACATATTCATTTCTAGTCAAGATAGGCGAGTACATGCTAGCAAACTTTTACAAAGTAAAATTGCATGGTTACATGTCATATAATAAAATGTAGATGTTTAGCCACAGAGTCTAATAACCGGTCAATCGTTATACCATGCATATTTGTTTTGGTCCTGGGGAATGACAAGTTAACTAAGAACATATCTCAAATAGGAACATGTAGGAAACCACATAGCAGGACATACAAATTTTCATGTTATAGATTATTCTACTTTTAACAAGGACAAACATTCCTTTCATTATCAAAAGTCATCCATAGAATAAAAATCCAATTTTCGAGACAAAATATAAAGTTCTTTCAAATTATTATCCTCTCAAAATGCTAACAAGGTTCTCAATTCCATGTAGATATCATAGCGAACAATTAATACCTTAATTTCATTCAACTATAACCACATAGGCATATAAACAAACATCCAAGAAAGCTAAGCTAATCGTTCCTCTTCAATTATATTAATCTTAGTGATAAAAGAAGGTTCACATCAAGAGGTTGACATGAAACTCATAATGAGAGATTCACCACAAAGAACTCTCAACAAGTCAATTTCACATCACGAAATTCCACAATAAAATCACAACTATAACTCACCATAAGAAATTTAAACAAGAGGTTCACGACCAGAAATTTTCAGCAAGAGTTTCACCAGAGAATTCCCAACAAGGGTCTCACACAATAAACTCAGCCATAAGTTACCAGGGAATTCAACAAGAGTTTTACAACCAAACACTCTTCAAGAAATTCTCAATAAGAAATTCAACAAGAATTCCTCAACAAACACTTAAGCAATTACTCTCAGCGAGATATTCCAATACAAGTCACAACCAGAAACTTACCACCAGAAATTCAACAAGAATCTTTCATAACAACAATTATCACATCGTTAACAAACAATTAGAATAAATCAATTAGTTAACTCATACAAATTTCACAAAGAAGCATGTAAGGTCATACCCTAGGCCGCAGAGTTGACATATGCTCTGGTACCATATTGTAACGACCCGATTTTATAACCCAAAATTTTAAAACTTTATTAAATGTAAATATTAGTTAAGTTTCCCAATTCAAAATGCGGAAATAATCAATAATACATTTTCATCAGAAACATTACATCACCTTCTACTTTAATCCATAATTCATACAATTATCGTTTGTTTCAATTACAACACTGCTAAAGGTAATATGCTAATTCTTATTACATCTTTTGAAAGAGATCATTTATACAACATAGTTACTTCAACATATTCCTCATATTGCATACATTATACAAATACAATTTTGGAATACAAAAACGACTACTCCAGTCTATACTCCCATCAGCAAACATCCATGACGCAACAGCAACATCCTGAACTCATATATAACACATAGACAAGGAAAACCAGAGGGAGTAAGAACCAACTACGGTGACCGTAGCGTGGAATTACATGGAGTAAAATCATTAAAGTATAACAACTTATACAATCATCTAAAATCAATCATAGTAAACACATACCATTTATATACCAGCCAATACTTAAACCACATAATGTTCACATATTCAATCGGTATAATTATAATGTTTCACTTAGGCAATTCAACACTTCCAAAACAATACAATACTCCTACGACAACCCAATATCACAAAGGTCAGTCAAATCAATACCACCAAGGAAAGTCACATCCATACCACGAAGGGCAGGTCTAACTCCATACCACGAAGGGCATGTCTAAATTCCATACCACGAAGGGCAGGTCACAATTCCATACCACGAAGGGCAGGTCACAATTCCATACCACGAAGGGCAGGTCTAACTCCATACCACGAAGGGCAGGTCTAACTCCATACCACGAAGGGCAGGTCTAACTCCATACCACGAAGGGCAGGTCTAACTCCATACCACGAAGGGCAGGTCTAACTCCATACCACGAAGGGCAGGTCACAATTCCATACCACGAAGGGCAGGTCACAATTCCATACCACGAAGGGCAGGTCTAACTCCATACCACGAAGGGCAGGTCTAACTCCATACCACGAAGGGCAGGTCTAACTCCATACCACGAAGGGTAGGTCTAACTCCATACCACGAAGGGCAGGTCTAACTCCATACCACGAAGGGCAGGTCTAACTCCATACCACGATGGGCAGGTCTAAATCCATACAACAACATCAATCACAAAATAATATTTCCACTGCATTATTCTAACATTGCAACTTCCTCACAACACAAGATACCACATCAATGTCATAAACACAATTTATCTCATATCCTACCACAATAAAAACCACTCACAACATCATCATCACATAATATAATTATGTCTATTTATCACCAACAAGCCGTTCATCACAAAATCATTATTACAAATATACCCACAATCAACAATTCAACAACTTATCACACCATCATTGATACAAACACACCCATATATGTTTATAACAAATCAACCATCCATAACACAACATTATCATAAATAAACCACACACAACATATTCTTCATCCTATAATACATTAACGTTAGAACCATCTTTTATGACGGTGTATTACCATAAAGGAACATATAGCGTTTTATTTAAATAAACGGTTTTCCCGCACATATATCCCCACTTTTATGGCTAATACATCCTCATGTGAAATAAATATTCTCAGATGGGCCATATACACCCAAAAGAGTTTCTATCCGTTAATATGCTTCGATTCTTGAGGGAAATCGGAGATGATGACTCTAATGAAATACTCTAAGACCACAATGGTCTTCTCCCTCACCTTAGGTTGCATAAGCTCCATTAATCCGCAAAAGAGCTCCATCTCCCTCCATCTCCTTCAACCTCCATTGTTGATTTTTCATCTCCAAAGCACTCCAATATCCATTAAGAAGCAAGAGGAAGGGGTTTTGATGTGTTTTTGAGGTTTAGTGGAGGGAAGAGTCGAAATCCATGAGGAGTCACCGCTAGGAGTGAAAGGGGAGAAAAGAAAATGAAGATTAGGGTTTCTAGATCCCCTTTTTCACTTTTATAGCTCAAACGCTCGTGTAATCGATTACCATATGGTGTAATCGATTACAACGTGAAAAATACACATATCTGATGCTTTTAATTATGATGTAATCGATTACGAGTATAGTGTAATCGATTACATCATGTAAAATACACAGGTATGATTAGTTTATCAGCATGTAATCGATTACCAGGATTGCGTAATCGATTACACTGTGTCAACAGCCCAAAATTTCCATTTCTCGCCCAGGCGAGACAACTCTCGCTCAGGCGAGAATCCTCCAGTATAGCCCAGGATTTCACCCTCCCAGGTGATCCTTTCTCGCTCAGGCGAGAATCTCTCGCTCAAGCGAGACTTTCAGGACTGATACTATAATTTTAAAGACTCAAAATTAGGATGTTACAATATCTAGTCATATGTGGTACTTACCGATAAGGAAATATATGAATTATGTTTTTCTGCTTTATGGGAAAGGGTCCTAGTATATTATGATAACTGAATTTGAAGTATTGAATGTTGTTTAACTGAAGAGGAATAGAGAAGATAAGAATATCTTTATTAAAATGAAAAAAAAAAATCAAGGGTAGTATTTGGGTCCTTACATATTTAGCATTTACTTAATAAAAATTGAATTATAAGAACTAATTTTTTTGCCATGGATAGAACTGTAACTCCGTAAAAGAGAATCGGGTCCTTTTCTTACACAGAATCCATATATGGATACCATAGAATTTTGTTCTATGGATACATTCAGTTCGTTTGATTCGTGCTTGAGCCGTATGATGAAAAATTATCATGTTCGGTTCTTTCGAAGGATGGATCTATAAGACTTCACCTATCCCAATAACAAAAAAACCTGACTTGAGTGATCCTGTATTAAGAGCTAAATTGGCTAAAGGAATGGGTCATAATTATTATGTAGAACCCGCATGGCCCAACGATCTTTTATATATTTTTCCAGTAGTATTTCTAGGTACTATTGCCTATAACGTAGGTTTAGCCATTCTAGAACCATCAATTACTGGGGAACCCGCGGATCCATTTGCAACTCCTTTGGAAATATTGCCTGAATGATATTTCTTTCCCGTATTTCAAATACTTCGTACAGTGCCAAATAAGTTATTGGGCATTATTTTAATGGTTTTGGTACCTGCGGGATTATTAACAGTACCCTTTTTGGAGAATGATAATAAATTTCAAAACCCGTTTCGCCGTCCAGTAGCCACAACCATCTTTTTGATTGATACCGCAGTGGCCTTGTGGTTGGGTATTGGAGCATCTTTACCTATTGAGAAATCCCTAACTTTAGGTGTTTTTTAAATTGATTCAATTTTGAAATAAAAAAAAATATCATGCCATGTCATTGTGATATAGATTGTGTATCTAGGGAGAATTTTCTCAAAGTGAATTCTCCCTAGATACATCTGGTCCTGAACTATTCCGAGTATATGGATTTGTGCTAACGATTTAAACCCAGTTTTTCATCTTTATTTTCATAAAAATAAAGATGAAAAAATAAAATACAACGGATTCAAAATTTATGTAAAATGCTTTTCGATTTCTAAAATGTCCAATATATCTTTTACATCTTCTACGCGAAAATGTTCCATTTTCATAAGATCTTCTTGACTGTTATTTAAAAGGTCAAATAATGTATGTATATTGGACCTTTTGAGACAATTATAGATCATGGGAGACAATTCGAATTGGTCAATAAAAATGGATTTCAATGCTATTTCTTTTTTATTTTTCCTTCGTTTCTCAAATAGATCATCAAAAGTAAAAGGGGGTAAATTAACTTTGTGTTGATTGTTTTCGAAATTTAAGTTTTCTTCTTCCTCATGCAAAAAAGGAATAAATCAATCAATCAAATTCCAGGAGGCTTCAAAAAGCGCTTCTTTAGGAGTTAAACTTCCATTTGTCCATATTTCGAGAAAAAGTATTTCTTGTTTTTCATTACCATTCACGTAAGAATGAATACTATGATTTACATTTCGAACAGACATGAATACAGCATCTATAGGATAACTTCTGTCTTGAAATTTAGTTAGTGTTTTTATACGATATCTGTGATTTCCCACGATTTGTAATCCAATATAAAAATTAATGGGTTCTGTTAGATTAGCTATATGTTGTGTATTATCAACAATTTCCACAGAAGGTGGTAAGAGGATGTCTTGAGCAGTTACATATCTAGGACCTTTGACAAAAATAGACGTCTCCCGAGTTCCATACAGATTACTTCTCAATACAATTTCTTTCAAATTCATTAAAATTTTGTGGACTGATTCTTGAATACCTATTAGCGTCGAATAATCATGTGGTATTTTCTCAGATTTTGCACGTGTAATACATGTTCCCTCGATTTCTCCGAGTAAAACTCTTCGCATTGCAATGCCTATTGTATCGGCTTGACCTTTCATAAGTGGAGACAGACTAAAGCGCCCATAATAAAGACGCTTACTGTATACTCTTGATTCAACACACTTCCAACGGAGTGTCTGAGTATACACTCTTACTTTTCTCGAACCATAGTAATATATTATATATATTATTAAATCCTTTAATGGTTTATTTATCTTGAAATCGCTTCCATGTTTATTTTTCATTTTACACACGTCGATTTTTCGGAGACCTATATCCATTATGTGGCATAGGGGTTACATCCTGTATAAATTTTAATAGTATACCACTTCTACGAATAGCTCTTAATGCCGCATCTCCGAGACCGGGACCTTTTATCATGACTTCCGCCCGTTCCATGCCTTGATCCGCTACTCTTAGAATAGCATTTGCTATTGTGGTTTGAGCGGCAAAAGATTTGCCTCTTCGTGTACCCTTGAATCCACAAGTACCAGTGGAGGAACAAGAAATTACCCACCCTCGTACATCAGTAACAGTCACAATGGTATTGTTAAAACTAGCTTGAACATGAATAACTCCCTTTGGTATTTTACGAGCATGCTTACGCGAACCAATACGTCCATTTTTACACGAACCCATTTTGGGTGTAGGTTTGCCATACTTTATTAAACAATTTATTTAGCAATTGAAGTCCAAGATCTATGGATATATCTGTGACACCCTAGATTTTAAAGTCATTAAATTATAGTATTAGTCCTGGGAGTCTCGCTTGAGCGAGAGAATTGTCGCTTGGGCAAGAGAGGCTCACCTGGGAGAGTGAAATCCTGGGCTATACTGAAGGATTCTCGCATGAGCGAGAATGGTCTCGCTTGAGCGAGGGTGGCCTCGCCTGAGCGAGAGTTGTCTCGCTTGGGCGAGAAAAGTGGCATTCAGGATCTGTCGAGGCTGTGAGATTCTCGCCTGAGCGAGAGGATCCTCGCTTGAGCGAGAGATGCCTCGCTTGAGCGAGAAATTCCTCACTTGAGCGAGAGCGTCATATCTGAAATTTTAAAAAGGCGGGATTTCCTCGCCTGAGCGAGAATAGGTTCGCTTGAGCGAGAACCCGACGATTTCACTTTAAAATAGAAACCTCAAACACATTTTAGGGTTAGAACTTTGAAGATAAGAGAGAGAGGAGAACTTTTCAAGAGCAAAGAGCCTTAGGAACATCTTAGAGCTTGACAAGAGGTAAACCTCTTGTTTCTAACTCTTCTTCTTCCTCTCTAACTTGTTTTGGGTATGTTGGATCTCTTTTCAAAAGATGAGAAACCATGGAAACTCATCCTTTAGAGTTATGGTTCGTTTTATGTTGTTTTTCTCTTGTAAACTCTTGGTTTAGAGTTGGTATTTGATGAATGGAAAGGTTTTGTGGGTTATTCATGAAAACCCCAAAATGAGAATATGAGTAAAAAGAGAAATGGATGAAATGTTAAATGTGGATGATGAGTTTGTGCTTTGATGTTGATATATGAGATGAACATGTATGTTTAGATGTTTGGAAACTTGTATTGAAGTAGTTTTGGAAATCTTGAAAGTATGTGAATCCCTTGTATGTTTGATGATGAAATACAAGTTGTTTATGTGTTATTTTGAATAAATGACTGACATTGTTGTTATTGGTGGAAATGAGGAAAGATCCTAAGGTTGGAGGAAATCGCGGAGAAGACTTTTAAAGTTACTCGGAACCGATCCCCAACACTCACCAAGGTAAGGGATAAGTGTCTCTAAATCATACTAGCTGATGTGAAAGAGGTATGTGAAAAAGGTAATGTATTTGTAAGATTACTATTGTTACCCTACCCGAAGTGGTAGTGGATTGTTATTGTAACTCTACCCGAGGTAGTAGTGTTTTATTGTTGTTACCCTACCCGAAATGGTAGTGGTGTATTTTTTATGCCCTAACCGGAGTGGTTGTGTTATGTGGAAATAAGAATAAACTCGACCTACCCAATGTGGTATGGGGAATAAACTCGACCTGCCCGATGTGGTATGGGGAATAAACTTGACCTGCCCGATGTGGTATGGGGAATAAACTCGACCTGCCCGATGTGGTATGGGGAACAAACTCAACCTGCCCGATGTGGTATGGGGAATAAACTCGACCTGCCCGATGTGGTATGGGGAATAAACTCGACCTGCCCGATGTGGTGTGGGGAATAAACTCGACCTGCCCGATGTGGTATGGAGGAATAAACTCGACCTGCCCGATGTGGTATGGGGAATGAACTCGACCTGCCCGATGTGGTATGGGGGAATAAACTCGACCTGCCCGATGTGGTATGGGGAATAAACTCGACCTGCCAGATTGGTATGGGAAATGAACTCGATGAATGCGATAAAGGGTGAATATGAATTATGAGAAATGAGGATGTAAGAATGAAAGTAATATGCATGCTATAGGATATATATTATGGGATATATATACTATAGGGTGAATATGAATTATGAGAAATGAGGATGTAAGAATGAAAGTAATATGCATGCTATAGGATATATATTATGGAATATATATACTATAGGGTGAATATGAATGATGAGAAATGAGGATGTCAGAATGAAAGTAATATGCATGCTATAGGATATATATTATGGGATATATATACTATAGGGTGAATATGAATGATGAAAAGGAAGATGTTAAGAATGAAAGTAATATACATGCTATAGGATATATATTATGGGATATATATTCTATAGGGTGGATATGAGTAATGAGAAGGACGATGTTTCGAATGAACGTAATGTGCATGCTATAGAATATATATTATGGGATATATATACTATAGTATGAATGTGGATAACGTGGAAATGAAAGGAGGAAGATATGAATGTTTAAATTTACATATTGGTGGTTATAAATTGTATTAATGCTTAATCGTATTTGAAATGTGGATTAACATGTAATGTTAGTTTTTGAACTAATGACTTACTCCCTTGTTTATGTGTGTTGTTGATGATAATCCCATTGTAGGTAAATGAAGGATTTGAGGAGGAAGCTCACTTAGAAATCTTATGTGTTTATTAACTTGAATGTCTTTATCGTTACTTTGACATTGTAGTTGATTAGATAATATTTTGGGATGAATGTAAATCTGATTAGGATAATACTGGAGATATGTAGTTATGGACGTTATAACTCTTGGAAACCCATAACCGGTTGTATGTGGTAATTACTAATTGAATGAATTATGTTTTTCTGCAATATGAATTGTATGATAATATAATAGGTTAAAAGATTAGTTTCAAGGAATTATTCATGAGGGTTTTAAGTAAAATGATGAATGTGTGTCAGGGAGGATTTTAAATAAACGAAAAAATTTCAAGGGTAGAATTTGGGTCCTTACAATATCCATTTTATATCAAAACAAGATTCGTTACTATTTTCAAACTTTTCTATATTAATTGTACTCTTTTTATTAATTCTATATTAATAGAATTTGAAATATCAATTATTTTATTTATTTATTTTTAATAGTTAGAATATTTATAAAACTTATATATATTATCTATATTATTTAATATAAATTTATTTTATTTGTGCATTAAGTCCTTTACTTTAGAATGGAAAGTCCTCCTTTGTGGAAATGTTATCCTTGTCTTTGTTTATGTCTTGGATTGGAACAAATTACTATAATTCGACCCTTTCTACGGATCAATCGACATTTTTCACAAATTTTACGAGCAGAGGCCCTTATTTTCATATTTGTCATTCCTTAAATTAATTCCTAATCTCTTTATTGGAAGAAAATAAGGTTTCTTTAAATTTTTAACTTCTAAGACCCAAAAAAGATATTTAAGTTGAAAAAAAAGTCTAATTAAATGATTTATACTGCCATTTTTACTTTCGGGATCATATACATATAAAATATGAGTACGTCGAGTCGAATCCTTTCGGAAACATAGACTAGAATCTAACAAAATATGATTCTATAATATAAAGGGGAATCAAGAACATACCCTTGGGAAGTTATTCCATAATTAAAACTTCATGAATCCATTTTCTTTTTTATTCTTATTCCAGTTAAACTTCCGTCACGCATTCCTTATTGTATGAAGAGTACTATTTGAAACCTATGTTTTTCCACATTTTTGACAAAAATGGATAGAAGTTTATCATCTCATATAATTCGGATATCAGAAAAATTACCATATATAACATAAAACTTCTCCGCCTATTCTTTCTAATCGAGCCTCTCGATCTGTTATTATACCTCTAGAAGTAGAAAGAATTACAATTCTCATTCCTCCTAAAATTCTAGGAATTCGTTGATAATTAGAATAGATTCGTAGACCGGGTGTACTGATCCGTTTTAAAATTAAAACAGGTTTATACGATCCTTTCCTATTTCTTCTATATCGTAGAGTTAAAACTAAAAAATATTTGTCGTTTTCCCGATGTTTTCTCACATTTTGAATAAAACCCTCTCGTAACAGTATTTTAACAATGTTTTCGTTAATGTTAGTAAATGGTATTTGAACCATTACTTTTCTATTCATGTCAGCATTTCGTATAGAGGTTATTATGTCAGCGATGATGTCCTTACCCATGATAAACGAAAATGATTCTTATCCCTGATTTTTAATATAATCAACGTGATTCTTTTTCTATTGTTTATTCTAAAATATTGATCTTTTTTTTTTTATTTTATTGAGGTGATCAAATCTTTATGAAATATATATATATAGAGAGAGAGAGAATAATATAAAAATTACTACAAAAGGTATATGTGTCGAGATATAATTTATTAATGAATCTATTTTATTCACAAATAATATAGCTATGCCAGAGTCTCGTCTTATAATACCTCCGGTGCTAATGAAACAATTTTAGTGAAATTTAACTGTCTCAATTCCCTGGCGATTGCGCCAAAAATTCGGGTTCCTTTTGGATTTCCTTCTTGATCGATGATGACCGCAGCATTATCATTATAGTGTATTATGATACCGTTGCTGCGTTTGAGTTCTTTACAAGTACGTACAATTACAGCTCTGATCACTTCTGATCTTTCTAAAGGCGTATTTGGTACAGCTTCCTTTATTACAGCAACAACAATGTCACCAATATAAGCATATCTCCGATTACTAGCTCCTATGATTCGAATACACATCAATTCGCGGGCTCCGCTGTTATCGGCTACATTTAAATGGGTTTGAGGTTGAATCATATCGTTTTTTTATCTCTTTTTTTTTTTTTTCAATTCAAGGGTTGAAGTAAAAAAAAATATTCTGTGTTAAAAAAAAAAAAAAACCTACAATTGACATTTTTTTTCATCCCAAAGACCTCTTTCCTTTGGTTTTTTTTTTATCCCGAAATAATGAATTGAGTTCGTATAGGCATTTTGGATGCTGCTATTGAAATAGCCTTTCTGGCTATATTTTCTGCGACTCCGCCCATTTCATAAAGTATTCTACCAGGTTTAACGACAGCTACCCAATATTCGGGAGATCCTTTTCCCGAACCCATACGCGTTTCGGTAGGTCTTACTGTAATCGGTTTGTCTGGAAATATGCGAACCCATATTTGTCCACCCCGGCGGACATTTCGTGACATTGCTCGCCGACCCGCTTCTATTTGTCTAGATGTGATCCACGCGGGTTCAAGTGCCTGAAGAGCATATCGTCCAAAGCAAATATGATTACCTCGATAGGATATTCCTTTCATCCTTCCTCTATGTTGTTTACGGAATCTGGTTCTTTGGGGGTTATAGTTGATGGTTGGTTGTTTTTCAATTCCATCGCTATTACAGAACTGTACATGAGATTTTCACCTCATACGGCTCCTCACGAATAAAATGGTTCAAAAATAAATAGATTTAACTGATAAAATAATAGAAAATACATACATATCTTTAATGAAGAATATGATAGAATCGCGGAATTTTTTGAGATTTTATAGAACCCATTGGTCTATTGACAATTTGTATATCTTGTTTTGATATATAACTAAACATGTATTCTTATAGACTACAATTAGACAATTGCTGCTATCTATATATATATAACTAGATCGAAATAATGTTGTTATGTTATAAGATTCTAACGAATCTTTTTTTATTTTATTTATAAAAATTATTATAAATAGGATAATAAAAAAGTAAAAAATTTCGCGGGCGAAAATTGACTCTTTCATTATCAATTTAAGATGAAATATAGGGTTATCGGGGGGTCACGGTTGAACTCTCCATCTTTGTGCGGCAAATGTGGCCGGACTCATGTCGGTGACTCGTGCCCTGGAATGGCACTTACCTGTTTTCACTGCAAGGAGGTTGGGCATATCCGAAGACATTGTCCTAAGCTACCGCAGAGTGTGAATGCAGTGAGGGTTGATCGACCTCGATCCACTGGTAGAGTGTTCACCATGAGTGGTGCAGAGGCATCGGGCGTAGATGGCCTGAAAAAAGGTAATTGCATGGTGGCAGGTATTCCTCTTTTAGTGTTGTTTGATTCGGGAGCGACACACTCCTTTGTATCTATTGAATGTGTGGATACACTGAAATTGCAAACTGAGTCGTTGCCTTTCAACTTGGTCATATCCACCCCAACTAATGTGCCTGTGGTGGTGTCAACAGTTGTGTCTCGATGTCCGGTGGTGGTAAACGGTAGGACATTTACCGTGGATTTAATCTGCTTACCACTATCCCAGTTAGATCTAATTCTGGGAATGGACTGGTTGTCGGCGAATCTTGTGGTGCTTAATTGTGCTGATAAGACCATGGTATTCGGAGATCCAGATGAGATTTCTGATGAGGTTAGTTATGTGAAGCCGTTGTCGGCAAAGGAAGACAGGACTTCCTGTAAAGAGGGAGGAGCCGTGTTTATGTTGTTGGCATCCCTGGAGGGTATTGAGAAACCCAAGGTTGAGGACATTCCGAAAGTTCGGGAATTCCCTGAGGTATTTCTTGATGACATTCCGGAGTTGCCCCCAGTGAGAGAAGTTGAATTCTCTATTGATTTGGTACCTAGAATGGGACCCATCTCTATAGGATGGCACCGTTGGAATTGGCAGAGTTGAAAAAGCAGGTTGAGGACTTGTTGGCAAAGAGATTTATTCGTCCTAGTGTCTCGCCGTGGGGTGCGCCTGACTTGTTGGTTAAGAAGAAGGATGGTAGTATGCGGTTGTGTACTGACTACCGGTAGTTGAACAAGGTTACTATTAAGAACAAGTATCCACTGCCTCAGATTGATGATTTGATGGATCAGTTGAGAGGGCGGTAGTGTTTTCAAAGATTGATCTTCGGTCGGGTTACCACCAACTTCGTGTGAAATCCGAAGACATTCCTAAAACTGCTTTTAGGACGAGGTATGGACATTTTGAGTATTTGGTCATGCCTTTTGGTGTAACGAATGCCCCATCAATATTTACCGATTACATGAATCGGATTTTTCATCTGTATTTGGATTCATTCGTAGTGGTATTTATTGATGACATTCTGGTTTATTCCAAAAGCCAAGAGGAACATGCAGAGCACCTGAGAATTGTTTTGGAGCTTCTGAGTAAGAACCAATTGTATGCTAAATTGTCTAAATGTGATTTTTGGTTGGAATCAGTAAACTTTCTGGGACATGTAATATCCAAGGAAGGGGTAGCTATAGATCCTTCCAAAGTGGAAGCGGTTATGGAATGGCCAGTACCGAAGTCAATTACTGAGATCCGGAGTTTTCTGGGTTTGGCTGGTTATTATCGAAAATTAATTGAGGGATTTTCGAAGTTGGCACTACCGTTGACTAAACTCACCAGGAAGGGAGAACCTTATGTGTGGACAATCCGTTGTGAAGAGAGTTTCCAAGAGTTGAAACGGAGATTGACTACCGCGCTAGTGTTGGTTCTTCCTTGTACTGATAGGGATTTCAGTGTTTATTGTGATGCTTCCAAGCAAGGTTTGGGTTGTGTTCTGATGAAAGAAGGAAAAGTTGTTGCATATGCTTCTCGTCAGTTAAGAACGCATGAGCAAAACTACCCTACGCATGATTTAGAATTGGCAGTAGTGGTCTTTGCTTTGAAAATCTGGAGACACCATGTATATGGCGTAAGATTTGAGGTGTACAGCGACCACAAGAGTTTGAAGTACCTATTTGATCAAAAGGAATTGAGCATGAGACAGAGAAGGTGGATGGAATTCCTTAAGGATTACGATTTTGGGTTGCAGTATCATCCGGGAAAGGCCAATGTCGTGGCCGATGCCCTAAGTCGGAAGTCTTTGCACATGTCGGCTTTGATGGTTAGAGAAGGGAAACTGATTGAAGAATTCAGAGATATGAACTTGGAAGTTCAGATAAGGCCTCATAGTATGATGATAGGAATGCTGAAGGTCACCAATGAACTGTTTGATCAAATCCGAGTAATGCAAGTTGAGGATATCGAGATAATGGCTAAACGGGATCTGATGCTAAGTGGCAAGGAAACTGATTTCACATCGGACCTTAGTGGAATGATGCGTTATAAAGGGAGAGTGTGTGTGCCTCGTGATGAGGAATTACGGAAGAGTATTTTAGATGAGTCCCATAAGAGCAAGATGAGTTTTCACCCGGGAACTACCAAGACGTACCAAGATTTTGAGAAGTTGTTTTGGTGGTCTGGGTTGAAGAGGGATGTGGCTTCGTATGTCTCGAGTTGTTTAGTATGTTAGGAAGCCAAAATTGAGCATCAGCGACCGGCGGGAGAGTTACAATCCCTAGAAATTCTTGTGTGGAAGTGGGATAGTATCTCCATGGATTTTGTATCGGGTTTCCCTAAAACTCAGAAAGGATATGATTCGATATGGGTGATAGTGGATCGGTTAACGAAATCTGCACACTTTCTGCCTATGAACATGAGATATTCTTTGGAGCGATTGGCGGAACTGTATATTCGGGAAATAGTTCGTTTGCATGGGATACCGTCGAGAATTGTATCGGATAGGGATCCCCGTTTTACATCCAACTTTTGGACTAGTTTGCAGTCCGCATTGGGAACTAAGTTGAAGTTGAGTTCTGCTTATCATCCACAAACGGACGGTCAATCGAAAAGGACGATACAGTCATTGGAGGATCTTCTGAGGGCTTGTGTCTTGGAACAACCGGGGAGTTGGGATGGCATGTTGCCTCTGATTGAATTTACCTACAACAATAGCTTCCATTCGAGTATTGGAATGGCACCTTATGAGGCGTTGTATGGTAGGACGTGTCGAACTCCAATGAGTTGGTTTGAGACTGGGGAGAACTTGATATTGGGGCCTGAGCTGGTCTAAGAGATGACGGAAAAGATCAAGAAAATCTGGGAGAATTTGAGGATCGCCCAGAGATGATAGAAAATCTAAGAGATGATAGTGGATCGGTTACGACAAGAGGAGGAAACCTCTTGAGTTTAATGAGGGAGATCATGTTTTCATGAGAGTAGTCCCGAATACCGGAATTGGTAGAGTGTTGAAGTCTCGCAAGCTGACTCCGAGATTTATTGGGCCGTGTCAAGTATTGAAAAGGATTGGGCCGGTAGCATATCAGATTGATTTACCTCCTTTATTGTTGAATATCCATAATGTGTTTCATGTGTCTCAATTGAGGAAATATGTTGGGGATCCATCCCATGTGCTTGAGTCTGATCAGATAGAGTTGAAGGATAACTTGACTTTTACGACGTTGCCCGTGAGAATCATGGATACCAGTATCAAAAAATTGAGAGGCAAGGAGATTGCCTTGGTGAAGGTATTGTGGAGTCAAGTGGACGAAGGAGATGCTACTTGGGAAGTGGAGCGTGAGATGAGAGAGGATTACCCTCATTTGTTTGAATCGAGGTATGTTTAATTTTCGGGGATGAAAATTCTTATAAGAGGGGGAGGATTGTAACACCCTAAATTTCCGTCGTTAAAATTATAGTATCAGCCCTGGGATTCTCGCTTGAGCGAGGGATTCTCGCCTGGGCGAGAAAGGCTCACCTGGGAGGGTGAAATCCTGGGCTATACTGAAGGATTCTAGCCTGAGCGAGGGTTGGCTCGCTTGAGCGAGAGTAGTCTCGCCTGAGCGAGAGTTGGCTCGCCTGGGCGAGGAAGGCTCAACTGGGAGGGTGAAATCTTGGGCTATACGGAAGGATTCTCCCCTGAGCGAGAGTTGGCTAGCTTGAGCGAGAGTGGTCTTGCCTGAGCGAGAGTTCCCTCGCCTGGGCGAGAGGGTCAGATCTGAGTTTTTAAAATAGGCGGGATTTTCTCGCTTGAGCGAGAAAGGGCTCGCTTAAGCGAGAACCCGACGAGACAACATTTAATGAGAAACCCCAAACACATTTTAGGGTTAAGAATTGAAGAGAGGTGAGAGAAGAGAGCTTTTCCAAGGGCAAGGAGCTTTGATACTCATCCAAGAGCTTGAGAAGAGGTAAAACTCTTGATTCTAACTCTCTTCTTTCCTTTGAAACTTGTTTTTGGTATGTTGGATCTCTTCTCAAAATGAGAGAAACCATGGAAACTCATCCTTTTGAGTTATGGTTCGTTTTATGTTGTTTTATCTTGTAAACCCTTGGTTTAGAGTTAGTATTTCAAGAATGGAAAGGGTTTGTGAGTTGATTCATAAAAACCCCAAAACCCTAAAGTGAAAATGTCGTTAAAGAGGAAAATGAGTAAAATGCTAGAGGTAGGAGATGAGTTTACTTTCTAATGTTGAAATATGAGATGAATATGCATGTTTTAGATGGTTGTAAACTTATGATGAAAGTAGTTTAGAAACATCGAAAATATGATGAATATCTTATATGGTTAAATAATGCAATATAAGTTGTTTATTTGATATTTGGAATAAATGACTAACTAACATTGTGTTATATGGTGGGAATGAGGAAAGATCCTAAAGTTGGCGGCGGTGTCGGTGGAACTTGCGAAGTTACCAGGAACCAAACCCAACACTCACCGAGGTAAGGATAAGTCTTTAACTTATGCATTGTGATGGAAAATGCGTGGATGTTTCTGATTATGGATAATGAAATGAATTGTAAATCACTTAATTGTTATAAGCATATATGGGTATGTTTGTAATGAGGATGGTGTGTATTTATTGTTTATGTATTGGTGGAGTGCCAATGGAAAT